CCACCCCCGCCCGTCACTGGTAAACACTGTGATTTGAGAGCCCTGGGGGCCAGAGAGCTGAAAGAGCTGGGCTGACCTTCTCTGTTCTGTCCCTCCCCAGCCTTGCAGAGAAGAGAAACAGGCACCAAAATGTATGCCACAGTCCGCTGGGCTGAGTCCCAAGTGCAAGATACCTTTGAATCCATTGCTGAGTCATTCGCCTCCCCTCCTCCACCCCAGACGTTACTTGCTCCCGATTCTAAAGAGACAAAAGGTGGGAATGCTTGGGAATAAAGTTGGGATGATCAGGATCTTTGGGGGTGAAGGTGGGTGGGCTGGGACTGAAAAGGTGTATTGTGGTCAGACTGTGATGCGCCCTAAATCTGCCGCTTATACTTTAGGGGTGTCTCCCTGCGGAAGTGGGGAGCCCCTGGTGGTTCTGGAGTACAGGAGGGTGGGCTTCCAGTAGAGTCTCCAACCAGCACCTTTGGGGGCTGGCTGTGTCCATTTCTCTTACAAAGTTCCGCAGCCTGGGCTGAATAAGCGCTGGACCCTTTGACTCTGCTCAGATCACGGGCCGAATCACTAGGGCTAGTCCGCGTCTTCAAGGACCAGGAGAGACGCCAGGGGCTTGGGCTCCCGGCACAGTAGAGACCCTCCGGGCGACTCAGGGAGCTTCTTCCCCTGCAACACGGAGCGCAACCGCCAGACGCCGCTGTGGCCCTGGGTGCGCAGTCCCGTGCCCCGCCCGCCCAGGGAAAGCGAGAGCGGCGCGCGCGGCGGGGCGGGGCGGACCACTGAGGGCAAGGGGGTGCCCGCAGTGGGGGGCTGGGCTCTTGCCTACAACTCCAGCGGCCTCAGGCCCGTTCTCCCCTCAGCAGCCTTAGTAGGGTGGTTCGCTCCGGCAGTGCGGCGCTCGCGGGTTTCGGGACTGGCGGGGTTCCGACGAGATGCTGGGGCTGCTTGTGCCTTTGCTGGCCTTGGCGCTCGCCTACTTCGCGCTGCTGGACGGATGGTACCTGGTGCGTGTGCCGTGCGCCGTGCTGCGCGCGCGCCTGCTGCAGCCGCGCGTCCGAGACCTGCTGGCGGAGCAGCGCTATGCGGGCCGCGTGCTGCCCTCGGACTTGGACCTGCTGCTGCACATGAACAACGCGCGCT